ACGACGCGCGCCTGCGAGAAGAGACGAAGGAAACAGCGGGGCCGGGGAGAAGGTAGAGAGGAGGGAAAGGATAAGAGAGAGGTCTCCCACGCCACGAACCTCGACGGGGCAATCGAAGACAAATTAACGTTGCGTGATGCGCGTTGATTCTGCTCGATAGCGGAACAACGGACACGATTACGTGCATCCGATCGGTGATGCGGAGCCGCGTACACGTCCCACCGATGCTTCTCGCGTTTTATCGTCGCATCGAACGCGCCGATTCGACCGCTCGCAACGGGCCAACCGATTAAACGGAGAAAGAGGGAAAGAGGAAACGCGGAGGTGACTTCGTCGAAGACGGAGGAGACGCGTTCTTCCGAGTTAATTGCCGGCAGTGAGCCGAGACGAGGCAAACCGAAGCGCCTCCTACGTTTAACCGTAATTTACGTGGCAACCTCCGAACAACCCGCGTCTTCGTTGCACTCGAGGAATTGCACCGTCGCGTCGAGCATTCCGTTCGAGCTACGACGCTTAATTAACGTTCGCGTACACGAGCCGCGGGCCCGAAGCGGTCCTCTCGGCACCGAATCGCAAGGAAAACTTTCGATTTTCGAGTTCGAACTCGAGAGGATTCGAGGGATAGAAACGGCCTCTCGAGCGGTAGAGCCGAGCGAAGCGAAGTCGGTTGGACGTTCGTGGGCCCGTGAATTATCGGGTTCCTGTTAGTTGCGTGTCGAGGCTCGCACACCTCGGGCAAACGGCTCGTCTCCTCGCGACAAGACAATTGCACCGTTTCCTGATATAGTTTGCGCCTTTCCAACTGTAACGAACGGAAATTCTCGAATTCTCGATTGCTCGCGGAGTCCTCTTCGTCGTCTCTCCCTCTTCGCTTTCTCCTCCTCGATTCGCCGAGATTCTCGATCAATCGCGGCGACATCCGGACAAACGCCGCCTCGAGCGATGCCCGGCTTAATTGAATTAAGTTTTTTCAGATTTACGACCGGATAATTACGGGTCGACGCGTCCTCGTTCGTACGCCGTTCGCCTCTCTTATCGAGACGCTTTACGACGCGTCTCGCGAATAAATTAGCCTCCGAAATAAGCTCGTACCGAATATTGCTCCGACTCGGACGAGACTCGAACGAGACTCGAACGAGACTCGAACGAGACTCGAACGAGTGTACGGGAACCACGGGACATGGAATAATATTTCGATTCGAGGAATAACCGAGGTCTAATCCGTTATTCCCCCTGTGCACGGGGCGAGCTCCCCTCGCGTTTACCAACGATACGTGACAGCTTATTTCCCAAAAGAAACGTCGACCGACTTCTCCCCTTCGCGACTCGCCGCGCGCCGCCTACCGCTAATAAAGTTACATCCAACTTTATTTGCCTGTTACGTTGCCACTTGTTCGAATTAGACGCGAACGCGGACGGGACCCTCTTTCGTTTTTTCCGATTAAAATCAATCTTCCATTTACGCCGACGTACTCGCTGTCTCCGTCGAGAGAGACGCTGGCGGAACTCGCGAGATGTCTAACCCCGGTGACTCTCGTCGTCGACGCGAATTACGCGGATTCTCCGGCGCTAGGATTTAAGGAAAATCCGAAGAGTATCTTCGTTCCGAGTCGGTCGTGAATCGTGCGAGATAGAAGACAGGGTGGGAAGTGGATTTCGACTCTACTCCACTCGTTCGCTTCATAGCCAGACTACAATAGGATCGATATCCCGCTGGGGGATAAACCCCGTAATCCCCTGGCATCTGTAGGCCACCTGCAGTCGAGCGTTTCGTCACGGACTCGTCGCGCGTTTTCCTTCGTGTCATCCGAATTCCACTCGATTCCAAATATTTGGACAACTTTTACCACGGACAATCCGAGTCGATCGACTCAGCGTCCCGTCTCGTGCTTCGAGGATCGTTCGACTTTGTTCGCGAATCGTTTTCCGAACTGTCAACGGGACGAGCCGAAATACGCTCGGAGACGTCGCTTTTTGATCGACGAGTCGGTTCCCTCATTGAAAGCTCTCAAAAGGCGATTTCACCCCGGGAGACGTTTCGAAATCGATCGGTCTCTTCGCGTTCGCTTTTCACCGTAATCCCCTTGTTAAACGTTCGCGCGGGTTAGCCGGGTCAACATCTCGACCGTTCCGGCCAACACGAGCACGCGAATCCATTGTCCGACTTTGAAATTTAACATCCGTCGACTCGCCTCGCGATTCCCAATCGCGTTTCTTCTGATCGAATCAACGAAAATTTACTGTCACGAACGGCATCCAGACGATTCGATATTAGAGTCGCATCCGATTCAAGGAGCAGAGAACAGGCTATGTCGAAACGAAGAGGAAACCGAGTCCTAGGACAACGAAATTCGATCCGCTTCCTTTCTCGCTTTCTTCGTCGTACGCGATCCTCTCGGTATCCTCTTCGGTCGATCGACCTACCGCGCGTCGCTAATCTCGCTGTTGGGGTAGAATAGACGAACGGATGTATCGTGAAAAATCGGGCCACGTATCGCTTGATCGAATTTCGAGCTAGAGGTTTAGCCGGGCGACGAGCGGCGCGACCAAGTTACTGCGAAAATTCGCGCGCCAGGACCTCGTATCCCCGGCACGCTCGTTGCGAACGCATCGGCAAATTAATTCAATCAATTAATAGGCGCTTTAGCGAGGATAGGAGAGCGGGGCCTCGGCGGAGGCTCGGCCGGCGGGTTGTAGCGGGTT